AATTCCTCCTCATCCTTTTACATCCAATTCAAACTCCATCTCCTTCGGGAAGCCTTTCCTGATCCCACCAGCTGGTAATAATCTTTCTCCTCAGAATTCACACAGCACCTTGCTTTGGAACTCTATCATCACTTAGCATGTAATATTACATGTTACGGTTATTTTTGATGGTATCTCTATACCCCTCCTAGATCATAAAATCACACTTGTTACAATGAGCAAGCTATAAGTCATGGAATACTATAGTCTTTTGGGAATTAGAATTAGTATTGTTCAGATGATAATGGAAAAGCATGGTGCATAATAGCAGGCTGAAACATGTAACAGATAAGGAATAGTGAAGAGAATTGAAGGAAAGGATATCATTGAAGAAATGTGCAATTAAAAAATATGGGCTGGTCATGTGGCAAGAACAAGGGACAACCCTTGGCCAGTTCATATGTTCCACTGGTATCTTCTCAACATCAGGAGAAATTGAGGAAAGCCTTCCGGTATGTTTGGCCAGCCCCTTGCAGTGAATGGAAGAACATGAGCAAAAGTTGTTCTTCATCATTTGTAGGATGGGAAGGCATGGATGGATTGTAATCTGCATCTCTGAAGGGACTTCCTATACTTGTTTGATCACATACCCATTTGAATATTTGAGACTACTAGCTGTTTCAGAATAGGAACAATGTCTTATTGTGAGTTCGTATTATTCTCAGCTATGGCAGCTACATGGCACAGTAGATAGAGCACTAGGCCTAGAGTTAGGAAGACCTGAGTTCAAATCTGGCCTCAGACACTTACTAGCTGTATGACCCTGGGCAAGTCACTTAGCCCTGTTTGTCTCAGTTTCCTCATCTGTAAAATGAGCTGGAGAAGAAAATGTTGAACTACCAAGGTATCTTTGCCAAGAAAACCCCAAATGGGGTCAGGAAGAGTTTGAAATGACTGAACAAGAACAAAATCATCCTCAGAATCTATCTCAAAACTCTGCACATAATGTATTCTTAACAAATGTTTACTGTATAAACATTTACTGTATCAACAACCTATGAGGTCATATATAGCTTACCTGGACACACATATCTTACATGTTATCTTGGTTTTATAGATGAGGAAACTAAAGTTCAAAGAAAGCACTGGAATTCAGCTATCAATTCCTAGCTCAGAGAAGTCTTTACTGTACCAGCTGATGCCACCCCAGTCTCTTATTTGGGTGTTACAGAATAGGCTTATGACCCATCATCTTGATGTTTACTTCAGTTTCCCTACTGCCCTCCGGAGCACATTTCTCTAAGGGCCCACTGGGGAAGGGGTGGGAAAAGTAGATAGCAGAGAAGTGGGAGGTTAATATTTGTTGACTGGCTGATTTACTGTTGACTGCCTGTGACTGGTGACTGGCCTCCACAGGAAAGATGGGAGAGTGGGAGGCATAACCATGGAAGAATTTTCTAAAGGAGCCTTTCTATAACCTAAAGAATTTTATGTGAATTTTCCTTCTTTTGATTGGTTTATTCCAAGCTGGCAGAAGAAGGATAGCATGTGGACTACTTAAGTGCTGCACCAATATGCACCAAATGTTCAAAGAAGCAGGGTAAGACCTCGAGAGAATTGAGCAAGTCTTTTATGGAAATTTTCTAATAATAATAATAAAAATACATGTGTATACACACACACACACACACACATACACACATATATATATCACTTCAAGTTTATAAGGCACTTTATATACATTAGCTCATTTGATCCTTCCAGTAACCCTATAAGGTAGATGCTATTATTATCCCAATTTCACAGCTGATGAGACTGAGGCTCAGAGGTTAAATGACTTGCCCATCACATAGTTGGTAAGAATCTGAAGTGGGATCTGAACCTAGGTCGTCCTGACTTCAGGTCCAGCATTCTATCTACCACTCCATTCTGCATCCAAACTGATGAAAAGTGGCAGACAAAAAATCCAGGGTAGGAAGTGGATAGCTTGTAACTTGGATTGGTGAAGGAAGTACCCACTTGGATGATATCTATCAGAGTTCTGTAGGATTTAGTCATAGTTCAGGAGCTCCTACACATCCCATTTTTTTCTACTACCTTCCTCTGGTGACAATGCTAAGGATACCAACACCATGACTCATTCATGATCAACCACTCTACCACCTGCCATCTTTCCAGTCCATTCCTCCAGGGCTCTGGCTTTTCCTCCTTTTTATACATACAATAAATCTAAAATCATTGACACCAAATTCTAGAGACATTTTCTTGATCAGCACCTCAGAGCAAGAAGGTTATACGATTATCCCTTCCACATCACAGAGGTGAGAGGTGCAATGCACCTCTGATCTGGAAAATCCGTGTAAAATTTTTTGGCTGATAAAATATGTTTATGTTATACAATACATATATTTTATGCATTTCTGAGTTTCTAAACTTTTTCTGTGTCGTCTGCTGGCCTTCTTGTGTCTTCTGCAGCTTCCACAAAACTCCCAAAAAATTCCCATTTAATTTGAGAAAGTCACAATGAGGAAGGGATAACTGAAGACAGAGCTGGGCCCCAGGTTTCACAAGCATACAATGAGGTCAGCACAATGGCTCTGTAGATGTTCAGTTTGGTAAACAGCCTAACATGGAAGCAATTCAGATAGTATAACAACACCATGTTAGGAAACTGAATTGTTTCCATTTGAATTGTCTTGGGAAAATTCTGAAGATCACCTGGTAAGATAAAATACAGGACAATGAGGTCCTCTCTCCAGCCGAACTGCCAAGCATTCAAACTCTATTGCAGAGAGTGCAACTCCAATGGGCTAACCTAAGTTTGCCTAAAAACTATTTTACAGAGAGCTCACAAAGGCAAGCACTTAACATGGAGATCAGAAGAAGCGATACAAGGACATTCTCAAGGTCTCTCTGAAGAACTCTGGAATGGATTGGGAGACATGGGAGACACTGGTACAGGACTGCCCAGCATGGCCTGCCTGCATCAAAGAAAGCACTGTGCTGTATGAGCAAAGCAAAATTTCAGTAGCTTAAAAGAAATATGAGAGGCACAAATTTAGAAACAGCTCTACTCTATTATACGATATTATATTAATAAGAATTACTTGCGCCCAAGAGGTCTACCAAGTGGCAGAGCCTTCCACGCTCCTTGGTTTGATCAGCCACAGTGGGACACACTGTACTTAGACCCTGACATAGTCATGTCATTTTGGCCCTCTTCAAGAACAAAGGACAATGACCAACCAATCATATAGAGATGGAATTAGGACCACCAGACACATCAGAGTTCAATTTAGGAATGGGGGAAAGCAGGCAGGATTAGGGGGAAAAACTGGCCCAACTTTTTCCCTTGGAATTTCCTTTAGGAAAACCCAAATACTATAGAAATGTTACAATGCAGCTCCGTATCCAGAAGACTCAGGTAATACTTGCTTAGAGAGGTAGAACAGGGTAGTAGGAAAAGCACTAATCTAGAAGCTGAAAGACCTGAATTCTGTGCTCAGCTCTATCACCACTAACCAAGTGACCACTTCATGTCTCTGGGCTTTGGTTTTTCTCCTCTGTGAAATGGGGATGATGAAAACTGCCCTGCTGGAATAAACCTGTTTTGTGAAGTTCAAATAAGCCAGAGTGCTCACAATGTGTATCTAAAAAGCTTCAAAAGGTTATAAAGCTCTAAGCATATATGTTGTGTATTACGATTATGGTAAAAAAACCCTGCTGCACAGGAGGATGGTCACCCCTGTCTCCCAAGGATCCACAGTCCCCAGGAGGAAGGCAACCTGCTCAGTTTGAGGATCCTAACTCCCTTCATCTGTAAAAAGAGTTTGACAAACTAGATAGCTAACATTTACAGAGTAACATAAGGTTTGCAAAGGGCTTTACTTATACCATTTTATTTGATATTTACAAAACCCCTGTGAGATAGGTGCTATTATTATAACCATTCTTACAGATGAGGAAACTAAGGCCAAAAGAGGTTAAGAGACCTGCCCAGGGTCACACAGATAGTAAATATCTGGAAGAGGGGATTAAAATTCAGATCTTCCTGACTTCTCCTTGATTTACTACACTTGGCTGCGGGAGCCTGGTCCCTTCCAACTCCGAGATTTTGTCTTCTAAGGTCCCTTCCAGCTTGACATTCAGTGTTACAAGGTCCCTTCCAACTCTGACATTCCATGTTCAAAGATTCTTTCCAGTGGTAACATTTTTTTGAGCCTACTATTCTAAAATAGCCCAATTATGAGTGTTTTCAAAAGCATCCTTTTCCTCCTTAAAAAGTATAAAGAGGCCAGGCAGACCAGTAAAAAAGAGGATGAACCTCTACTCTGTTTAAAGCCTGCTTACTCCAGTCCTGTCCTGGCCTCTTTAACCATACGGCACTAAAACATAAACTTTTCTTTAGGGACACCAAAATATGGAGTCGAAAGAAAAGACCTTTCAAGATCCAGCTTGAAGAAGCCGAGATGTTCATTCAAAATAACATAAAAGAAAAGAAAAGTGGAGGATGGGGACCCAGACCCTACTCTGATCCACTCTCCTTGTGCTTGCTGAACCTCAGAGGAGGCAGGTCAAGAAGGGCTGGACTTCCCGACGCACCCTCAGCTTTGCTAAAAATGATTATTCTCAGTGATGTGCGGTTCAGAAACGTGAAACGCTTTCCGGGAAACACTCAAAGTCGCCGCGCTACCCCCCAGCCCTGACCCTCTACCGGCACAGAGATGTTCTCCAAAATAAGTTCTCTCCTGTCCCTGTGAGCTCCTCCGTTCGGGAAGAGGGATCCCTCACTAAATTCCCAATCTCTCCTCCTCATCTCTTACCCCCAGGACTGCCTCTACCGGGGAGTCACCGACACCCCCCCCACCCCAGTCCTGTCCTCAGCGTTCCATCCTCGACTCAGTAGAAAATGACACAGACTGCAAGCGTGAGAAGGACAGCGCTCCTTCGGGGAGTGGCAGTCTGGGTCCCAGTTCGCCCCCTGGCCCGGCAGACGCGCGTCGCCCCCCAGCAGGACTCACCGAGTGCTTGCCACTGCGGGCTTCCAGGAGCTCCTCCAGCCCGCTCAGCATCACTCACCGCCGCCCCTCAACTTCCCGGCCCGCGGCTCCACAGAGGGCAATTTTCAACAACCAGCGACTGCAAAAATGAAACTTCGCGGCTCCACACCAAGCAGATAGCTGCAACCAAAACCCGAGCGGCTGCCGAGAAGTCACGTGAATTACTATACTCCCAGGGAGGGAGTGCGCCGGCTTCTCCCATCCCCCGAAGTTACTACTGCTTGTTTAACGTTTAGCCAGGAGTTAGCTTTGTTCCCTCACTTGCGAGTCTATTTTCTATCTCCTGGGTACGGCTATAAACCCATGAGGGCAGGGCCGGGAGGGCACCGAGGAGTACTGGAAAGGGGAGCGAGCAAGGTTATTTTTAATTCTGGCCTTGTCACTTAATGGCTGCATGATCCTGGGGAACTCATTTCGCAGCTGTGAACCTTAGTTTCCGAATCAGTAGAATGGGGATAATACTTGATCATTGTAGATATAAAACTGGAAAAGACTTTAAAAGTTAACCCGTCTGACATCCTCATTTTACAGCCGTGGAAACTGAGGCCCATAGAGGCTAAGTGATCGCTTAAGATCTTGAAGATAGTAAAGAACAGAACCAGGGTATGAACCTAGGTCTTCTGCCCCCAGATCCAGGACTCTGATGTGAATTATTTTTCTGAAGCCTACCTAGTGCCAGGCACATTGTCCGTGACTAATAAGTATGTGTTGATTGTTATAACAACTAGAAAACAACTGTTAGAAAACACTACATTTTCACACCTTTCTAATTTCTTTCAAAGCACTTTCACTTCCCTTATATATGTCATTTGCTTTTAACCATAACCTAATGAGATGGTCAAGCCTTCCTCCAGAATCCGCATCACCATGGGGAGGTAACCCCAAGTCCTTGAAAGCTATGTCATACCAGCAAAAAGCCTTGGTAGGTCCCGCCAAATTGAAAAGGATTTGAATATAGGCTCAGCAATGGACTGTTGGTCAGTTGTCTGAGGACAGTTTTAGCTAACTCAGGGAGGCTCAGGGTGATGAATTGGGGGCTAAATAGACTCTGGAGAGCTATCTACACTAAGTCGTGGTGGACTTGTAGTTTACCTTGGCCCACACTAATAAAATCGTGGATCCTTGAAATTTTAAAGTATGGAAGAATTTGACACCATTCTTCAAAGCGTGGTCTATGCTGAGCTAATAAGGAGATCTGCTTATTTGGGGGCCAGTTACTGAGCTTACATCTATCTCAGTGTTCTGAGATAGCAGTCGCTCATTTACATAAGACTGCTGCTGAATTCTGGAGTGAACACAAAACAAGAACTCCTTCATTGTTTGGTGTTTTATAGGTTTATTTGTGTATGCAAATTGGAGGATTTTGAAGTTAATAACTGGAGCAATATATGCACCACCAAAACACTTGGTCTGTAATTGTAAGAGATCTCTGTAGCTCAGTGCAGACCACAGTATTGTTAGTGTAGGCTAGGGCAGAACACAAACTCACTCTGGCTTAGTAGATAACTCTCCAGAGTTGATGTGGCCCCCAAATTCATCGCCCTGTGACCAGCCCATTGCCTGAACCTCTCTGAGTATTTTATTATTGTTGGTCAAATGTACTTTACTTTATCGTGACTTAGTGACAGAAAATGAAAATTTGGTTCCTATGAGATAAAATGAGGTCTCTTGCAGAGAAGATCCAGCTGGTGACGCAGGAAGAAAGATAAAAGAACTGGCTTCGAAGAATGTAATTTTCCCTCTGCACTGTCACTTGGGAAGCAGATTTAGTTGGCCAGAGAATCTGAGCTCCTCTCTCTACTGCATCTGCTGCTTCAAAGAAGAAGAGAAGAACACAAAGAAGGTACTTCTCTCCATTGCTTTCTGCTGTTGCTAAAAGATCAAGGGAAAAAAGAGTCTTGACAAAGGAACAGAGTCAGAGAGGCTTTTGACAAATTTAGAAGTGTTGTTGTTGTTCTGCCTTTGTTTTTGGATTTAAGTGAGGCAGAACTGCCTCTCTCTCTCTTCCTGAGTCATCAAAGTCCAGTGGCAGGACAAAAGTCAAGATGACTGCTCATGGCCCAGGTCACAGTGGATGACCTTGGTGTCTTTGATGCCTGACCGAGCTCTTATGTGCTCCACAGTGCCTGCTTCAGCAGCCTTCATGGCCATTGGAACAAATTGTTCTCATCCACCCATTCTGCTGGAGGAAGTCTTTGCATGCTCGGGGTAGACATCCCCTAACTCACCAGTGGGTTTGAGGCCTGTCGGTTACTTTCACCCTGTCTGCCTGTCTGCTGAGACAGTTTACCAGGGTGTGGCTGCTGAGCATGCTGCAGCTTCTTGGAGCGGCAGGTGAGAGCTGTGTGAAGGTGGACACCAAAGATGGATGAAGAGCCCTGAAAAGGGCTCAGCAAGCCCTCCCATCAGAAGTGCTAGTCCTCCCTGAACATCTGGAATGCCCCTGCCAAATTTAGATGCATAGAACTGCTTCAGCAGAACATCGGCCAAGCTGGAAGTAGAAGATACTGTAGTTGCTGTCCCGTTGCAAGCCCAGCCGAACAGAGAAATGCTTAGAAACAGACCTTGGGGAAGCAGCCCAACAGAATGTCTCATCCAGATGAGATGCTATAACCAATGAGATGGTCCAGCACAGCATAGATTAGCTCAGTTTAGTAATGGAAGCATTTTCCCCCCCCAGAGTTCTTCTCATCAAGGAACTTTTATGGAGAGTTCTTGAGACAGAAAAAGTACATTAACGTCCACAGTTTCAGGGCTGTGAATTGCTGTGGCCACATTATTCTCTACCCATATTTTACTATCCTGGAACTTTTAAGGTGTGCCCACTGTCCCCATAGATACTATATGCATTAATGGGAAAGTGTGATCTGAGTTTATGGGTGAAATGTCATGCAAATTCTATATGTCTGATTTGTATTTTAAGTAACTGTTTTAGTTAAGGCTAACTGAATGTTGGTGGCTGATTTATTCATGGGAAATACACCAATGAGGGCTCATGAACTACCATACTAGTAAGCAAAGTTACCCACAAAAGTTACTCCCAGGACCCTGAGAATAGTGAGTTATACCAACTGCCTTCTTTCTGAAGAAATCCCAATATGTCAGTAGGAGGCTTGTTGAGGGAAAATGAGCCACAGAAAGAAAGAGTTAAGTCCCTCTGGAAGAGACTGTGTGTGAGTAAAGGCATCTGCTACACTGTCACAAAATGAAACCATTGTTGCAAGGGCTGTCTCCCACATGTAGCATGGGAGTGTCATTGTGAGACTCAAAGAGAGAAGAATAGAAGTCTCTAGCCTCTTTTCCTTCTCATCCTTCTCCAAGGAAGATGTTAATTCCTGCCAGAAGGGAAACAGGAAGATGAAGCCAGAGGCTGCCATTCCACTTTCCTTAGAAAGAAGGGTTACCAGTTAGAATTATATCTATCTGCTCCCTTAAATATTATTAGTCTAGGGGATATGGGCTTCAGGTTCAAGCTAAATTCTGCTTGATGTTTCATTAATGGAGGAAGCAGGATCCCAAGCTTTATATTCAATGCTTGACTCGCTTCTCACCCGGATGACAGTTCTGCAATGGGCACACAACAGCAATTAGCCAAGAAATTCATATATCCAAATTGGTAGCAAAAAACAGAGATCAGAGAAAGTATACATAGGAGAACATACACCGGACAACACAGAGTGAAGGAGCTTTCCCATTAAAAACAAGGTAACGACTCAAGAGAGAGAGAGAGAGAGAAGAGAGAGAGAGAGAGAGAGAGAGAGAGAGAGAGAGAGTCTCCTAGATTTCACCCAAGGGAAAATTCCTCGAAGTCTGGGGACAGGGACATGATAGAGATTGCCAGTTCCTCTCATATTGGTTTCTTCCCAGAGTCTTTTCCTTCAGCAACCTGAAGTGGAATTGGCATCTTCCATCTTTTCTTCCAGAGCTGGAAGCCAGAAGTGCCCAAAGTGTGACAAGACTCTTAAGCTGGAAGAGCACTCAAGAACTTGACTCTACTGCCCTTATCAACTTCGCCCTGCCCCTCATGCAGGCATAGAGCATTCCTATCCACTAATGGGGAGAGAATCCCATAGTGATGGGCTTTGGGTCTGGGGTTACTTATTAAAATTATTGTTGGACCCACATAATTCACACACAAGTAATTCACATGAGCCAAGTAATTGTGCATGAGAATGGACTAAAGGAAATGGGGATGTTTAGAGAAATGACACCAAGGACCCTGACATCCACCCCCCCTCCCTTTGATATTTGCCATAACTGCCATAACTAGACTATCTTTCTAGCACCCCCAAAAGGAAAACCAGGAGGGCAAGCTGGAGGAGATTTGGGGAAACAATTCACTGGAAAGTTCCATAGATGAATGTCTGACAATTTTCTTGGCATTTTGATTATGTTATGCTGTAATCCATTGAATAGTTGAGTTCTCTGAATGGGGGAGCTAGTCTGAACCAGGAGATGCCAGGTTAAAAAATGGTGATTGAATAGTATCCGAACCAGAGGCTTTCCTAAAATTTTTCAATAATTTTGAGTGAGATGGCATGTTGTTTCCCAGCCCAATTCTAGCCAGAATGTGTGTGTACAAATATATTATATGTGATATATATCACACATGTATGTATACACAAAAAGTTATATGATATATACATATATGACACATGGATACGTGTGTGTGTGTGTTTTTCCCTCTCTCTACCTAGTGCTTCTTCTCAGGGCAGAGGAGTTGGCTGTTCAGAAGACTCTCCCCCAACAGACTCTGCCAAGATTACTTGTGACCACCTGGTGGGCAAATTACATATCACTCTCCCTCAATGATGGGAAATTCATAGAGACTTCTTGTCTTCCTTAAACATCTCTAGGCCCTCTCCCACTAGAATGTGCATCTAGCATCCAAATTACCTGTCATAACTGTAAAAATAAATGACATTTATGTTGTGCTTTAAATTTTTGCTTTACATACAGTATATCATTTGAACCTCATTGCAGCCCTGTGAGGTAGGTAATGTTGTTATTATTTCCTGTAGGCTTAAAGGAGGCAATACCCAAGCTGATGTGGGCTACTACTGCTACTGCAGCAACCCAAGTATCATAGTCAGTCTACACTTGTGTCACATCGTCTAGCAGGGGGACATAAGACTAGATACATCTAAATATAATACAAACTAGAATATGGTAAACACATAAGAAGATTATAAAAATGCTCTAAGGTCAGAAGAGAGATGACTTTCAGTTAATAGGGTTAGAAAAGACTCCTTGGAGAAGGTGGCACGTGAATTAGGCCTTGAAGGATGAGTAGAATGTCAACGGGCTTAGGTGAGAGGAAGGACACACCAGAAGCAGAGAACAAGATAAGCCAAGGCTAAGAAGCAGACAGCACAGTTGGC